GACAGTTCAGAGATTCATGAGTGTGAACCACCCAATAAAAGATTAAGCTGTTAGGATGAGGACAGGGAGATCAATAGTAAATTGTAAATTTTATAGTTCAATCACACTGGTAGAAAGTTATCTGGCTTTTGTCATCCTCTTGTTAATAAGCTATAATCCAAAAAGCAGTGGTCCTAAAAAGGAACATGATAGAATCTTCTCAGTCTCTCTGGAATTTTTTTGTACACTCATGATTTTTCTCCTGTTTCCTTCTTTACTATCTTGAACTAGTAAGTATCAGGATGGCAATTGTTGCATGACTAATTTCTTAGAGCTTTGGACTTCTGAGAGACCTCCTGACATTAACCCGCCCAAGACCGAGGCTTGGACTATTGACTTGGGGGTTTGCAGTTATGAGGCGGGGTGGCTGCCCACTGAGCCAGAGGTGAAGGAGTCCCTCAGGGAGGGCTAACCGGCTATTCTCCTGCTCAGTCACCACCAGCTTCCCCAGCCCTACCTTCCCGGGATGCCAGCTCCATCCCTCAAGAAGCTGGTGGTGCTGCCCCCCTCACACACACACATTGGGCGGGGCTAGGACCATTCAGTATTTGTAAACTAATTTGTTTTTTTTTTAACTAGGTATACTGCTTACAAGTAAAGGTATAAAAGAGCCTTTAGCTTAAGGACATACTAAGCTACTCCAGGAAGGAATCTGTCTTTTTGTTTGTAAAGTGACCAACAATAAATAATGACAGCAGCCAAAGGAATTGGGAGATATACTCTGTCTCTGAGGAGATAACAACAAAACTATAATGCAGAAAAGAGTCATATTAATAAAGAAGCCTGTCCAAGCTACTTATTACAGAGAGCACCAACACTGCAGGAGGTTCTGTGTAAGGTTTTGTTTCTTTTCTTTACCCCTTGCAAAGACTTCTGTACTCTTTACTTCCAAACTTTAATTTCAGTTATGAAATTCCAAGCAATAAGACAGAGTGTGATGGACTTAAATGTGATTCTACAATGAGTAACACAATTTATGAAGTTTTGGTTTAAGGAGCACTAGCTGCACATCATATGAACATGGAATGAACTAGGAGGAAGTTCACAGCCAATAAAGAAAATTCTGCATTTCAGTTAGGCTAATAATACATATACACAGTTGCAAAGCTGACTGACAGAATCCCACTTGACAATTCTTCCTATCTGAGGCTCTAAAAGTAGTTAAGCATGTGAACAGTCCCATAGATTTCAAGACTCAAGCTAATGGTTGTCTGGTCCTTAAAGAAACACAGGTACTTAAGCGCTTTACTGTAGCATGACCTAAATTCCACTCCTCTCCACACCATCCTCAAGTCCCATAATCCGTTCAACCTAAAATGACTAGTAATAGAGAGGTAGCCGTGATAGTCTGATCTTGCTAAAACAAAAGGAAAAACTATATAGCACTTTAAAGACTAACAAGGTGGTTTAATAGGTGATGAGCTTTAGAGCAGAGGCAGTTGTACGTAAGGGCTTGACTATAGAGGCAGTCAGTGGGTTTCTGTAGAGAGTGGTATCTAATTTTCCATCAATGATTTGTACTGTGGTGCCCAGGAAATGGATCTCTCGTGTTGAATGGTCCAGGCTGAGATTGGTGGTGGGGTGTAGGTTTGCTACAGAAAACCCACTGACTGCTACACTTACCTACATGCCTCCAGCTTACATCCAGGACACACCATATGATCCATTGTATATAGTCAAGCCCTTAGGTACAACCGCCTCTGCTCTAATCCACTGACAGAGACCAGAAACTCCAAGATCTCTACCAAGCATTTGTAAATCTCAATTACCCACCAGGGGAAATAAAATAAAACAAATTGAAAGAGCCAGACGAATACCCAGAAACCATCTACTTCAAGATAGGCTCAAGAAAACCAACAATAGAACACCACTTGTCATCACCTATAGCCCCCAGCTTAAACCCCCTCCAACGCATTATCAATAACCTACAACCTATACTGGAACAGGATATTACACTCTGAGAGGCTCTAGGGGACAGACCCATAGTCTCCTATAGACAACCACCTAACCTCAGGAAGATTCTTACCAACAACCACAGGACATACCACATTAATACCAACCCTGGAACTTTCCCTTGCAACAAACCCCATTGCCAACTTTGTCCACACATTCACTTTGCTGATACCATTATTGGACCTAACCAATTGAGTTATAAGATCAAGAGCTCATATTCCTGTTCATCCAGAAATATAACTTATGCCATTATGTGCCTTCCGCTATGTATATTGGACAGACTTCTCAGACACTTTGCCAAAGAATTAATACCCACAAATCAGACATCTTCACAAGGAAAAACCGGTTGCTTTTCATTTCAGCCTGTCTGGATTTAGTCTTAACGACCTTACTACATGCATCTTACTTCAAAGAGACTTTAACACCAGATTACAGAGGGAAATTTCAGAACTTTCTTTCATGCTTAAATTTGACACTTTACGAATGGGCCTTAATAAAGATGCTAATTACCTTAACCATTACAAAGATAGCTTCCCTACTTATCACCCCTGATTAGCCATTCATGGATTCATAAATAGCTATTCCCTCTCTCTCCCTCACCCCACCTTCTGTACTTTATCTGATGTGTCAGTTTAATTATGTGTTCACTTTTTTCATTGTAATCCTTTGGTATATATGGTCATGACAATTCTCTTCCAGAATATGATCTGTGGAAGTGGGTCTGGCCCACGAAAGCTCATCACCTATTAAACTATCTTGTTAGTCTTTAAAGTGCTACATAGTTTTTCCTTTTGTTTTAAAATGACTAGATGAAGCTTGCTGCTCTGTGGTTATCAGGAAGTATTATTAAGTTCTTCAAGAATCTCTCCCCAGTCCTTGATGACTTAAGGAACAGACTATGGACCTCTTGAGCAGCAATGTGGAGGACCTCTGCCAAGGTCTGAGTAAACTCCTTGATACACTTTGGTGTAAGTGAAATTGTGTCACCAGCATTTATTCCATGAAAAATGCCCATCTAGCCAGATATAGTTAGAGAACAAGTTAACATGGACAGAACAGCTTAGTAAGTTCTCGAGTTATCAGTTAAGGACTCAATAAAAACAGATTTTTTTTCAGTAGAGAAAATGACAACCTTTTGATGAGCATATTCCATTAGTGAGTTGTGGGTTATACAGACACAGAAAGATCTGCTATAGAATTAGTAGTGAAGAGGTTTCTTAAGCTCAGAATTTAATGTCCAGTAAATTTGTTGGATGATTCAATATACATTTTTTCAAGGTTTCTTCTACAATAATGAAGAGTTCTGATGCATAAATCATCAGGATATATTTAGCAGTTGTATTTGTTTAGGTCAGGTAGTCTGTGTTTCATGTTTTGATATACAAAGCTATTACTCCAGAAACAGCTATATCACTTTATTAAATTTGCTTAAGTCTTTGCAAGTATATCCTAGGCCAGGGGTTATCAACTGTTTCCTTTATGAGACCCCCTCCCAACATGCTATAAAAACTCCATAGCCCACCTGTTCCACAACAACTGTTTTTCTATATATTGAGTGGATTAAGTAGTTGGGGGATAGCAAGCAGGACCACTGCCAAAGGCAGGGGAGCTGACTGCTTCTGCGGGCCCTTGGGCAAGGTGTGTGTGTGGAGGGATGAAAGCAAGTGGGTGTGCCCAGGTGCGCAGCTCTGACAAGAACTGGCTGAGCTGCAGCAAAAGCCGGTGGGAAGCTATTTAAAAAGCTGACAGGGACCTGGATTGCAATAGGACAGTACCTGTAAGAAATTTTAAGTAAGAAATTTTAAGTTACTTTCATTGCTCTACACCCCTGGAAGGGGTGAGACCGCAGGTGAAAGGGGTCATGCTGGGCATCTAAGCCAGAGCATGGCTTACCCTTCACCCTCCCGCCCAACCCTCAGAGCCACACGGAGTGTGCAGCGTGGCATTCTGGCAGCAATTTTAAGGGCCCCAGAACTACATCTACCACTGTTGGTGCAGTAACAGCATCAGCTGGAAGTCCTGGGATCCTTTGACTCACCAGGCCCTAGAGCAACAGCTCCCTTTGCTTCTCTCTCTGTGGACCTGGGTCTGAGCCACAGAGGGCCCCACAAAGCTCAGGCTTCAGTTTCAGTCCCACGTGGTGGATCTCAGGTTTCTGCCTTGGGCTCTTGCACATCTAATGCCAGCTTTGCTCTCTGGGTTATTTTATCTCTCTGGACCTCACTCCTCCTTGCCAAACCTGTTTGCAGCCCCCTGAGGGCCTCGGATCCCTGATTGAGAGCCTCTGCCCTAGGCTATGGCTTTTATCACAGCTACTCTTTCAGTATCACAGTAATCCCAGATGGATCAGGGACTTAAATCCCTTCAGATGAAAGGAGTAGGAATAACAAGACAAGCCAGGGATGTGGAATCTCCCATCTCTCTGTAACTTTCCTCATCTCACTGGCTTCTGTTAATTTCTCATTTTCTTCACACACCTCTACTCTCTTTTTTACACCTGTGCCAATCGAATATAAAATCCTACCATGGGGGTAAACAATTTGAGAAATATATTTGTTAGTATTTTACAACCACTTAGCACAGGAGTACATAATTATTCAAGGAACGAGGCAATGGACAATTTGACTCAATACATTTACCTTCTTCTTTCCCCACTCCATAAACTGTATTCATAAAAGTTCACTTTGTTAAAATCCAATTGGTTTTCCTAGGTGATAAGGAGGAAATTAGTTATTAATTTAAATAAATACACATTCTAAAAAAATCCAAGCCCATATTTTACATTTCGTGTAGAATGCCCTGACAGATTTTTTGTAGGGTCAAGATTAAAATATAGGTTTTCTGTAAATAAAATAGTAAAGGCTTTTCAATGACATTGAATATAAACATCTCTAAAATTTTATCATGTCTTCTGAACAAATGAATAGTTTCAGTCTTTTATATTTTCAGTGCGATGTAGTTCTCATTAAGAAACGAAGAGTCCTGTGGCACCTTATAGACTAACAGATTTATTGGAGCATAAGCTTTCGTGGGCATGCATCTGACGAAGTGGGTCTTTGCCCACGAAAGCTTATGCTCCAATAAATCTGTTACCGGTAATCTTTTAGATGCCATAGGACTCTTCAGACTAACAAGATGGTTTATTAGATGATGAGCTTTCGTGGGCCAGACCCACTTCCTCAGATCAAAAGAGTCCTATCACTATAGGACTCTTCGTCGCTCTTGCAGATTCAGACTAACAGGCTACCCCTCTGATACTCATTAAGAAACAATATTTTAACAGAAGGCTTCTCTTTCATTAACAGAAGAATAATGAATTTGTGTTTAACAACTCCCACCAGACTTCGGATGGCCACAGTAATTATGTAAAATATGTAATCTGTGATATGCATGTAATACCCCTTTTTAATGACTTGCTTTTTACTGACATCCAGGATAAAGTACAAAAATGTTAAGCACTAACTTCAGAATTGTCAAAGATGGCTTGCAAGGAATAATTAACTGTAGCTGAGGTATGTTAATGATTGTGATTTAAAAGGATAATGTCAAGTTTAACATTATTGGATTTCTTTACCTATTAGTAACAGCATCTTAGTCCCTGATCCCAGAGTGGGACCCATAAAGGCAAAATGTAATGCTGATGTGGAGCTACACTGAAGTCAATGGGGTTGATAGGTTGATGGGGTCATTGATTGGAAATCTGAAAGATTTAAATATCTGATTTACTTTTCACTTGCTATGTTCTTTTGGACTATTTTTATGTTTTGCAGTCAACTGAACTTAGATAATGAGAACAGAATGGTCTGTGCACTTTTGTATATAACCGATTTCACTTTCTTCTTCCTTTGTGCCAGCTGTAAGGCTGTTAGTTTTGGGCTGCAAATATTTAAATCCAAAGTAAAAATATTTTTCAAATAAAGTTTTTTCATGGGTGTGATCTCTGGTGGATGTTTGTTAGATCTTGTCTACACATAGTTTTTATATCACTTCAACTGTGAGGGGTTGTAACTGGTATAACTGAAGCAGTAGAATCCCTAGTCTCCTTTTGGTACAGCTTATCCCAGCAAATTTAAGGGGGGAAAAAGATATACTAGAAAAAGGCACTAATTATACCAATATAGTTGTGTCCCTACTAGTTGCTACCTGATTTAATAAATGAATTTCTTTTAAAATTACATCACTAACCCAAATGGTTAAATCGATACAAAAACTGTGTTTGGACCAGGCCTTAAGATCTGCGAGCCCATAATTACTTTAGCTACTTTTACTCTGAATTTACACATACTACATTTCAACAAAATAACTAAAATGGTTTTAATTCATACATTTTGTTATTTTGGGGCAAATCTGTGTAAAGACCAGCTCTAAGGGTATGTCTACACTTGCCCCTACTTTGACATAGGGAGGCAAATGAAGCATACTGAAGTTGCAAATCAAACCCGGGATTTAAATATCCCGCGCTTTGATTTGCATGTTCCCGGCCGGTTGCCATTTTAGAAATTCACTAGCCCAGAGTAACTGCCCGTGTCTACACGCAGCAGTGAAACGGGAGTCCAATTTAGAGCCCCTAATTCGAAGGAGCTGGTAAACCTCATTGCAGGAGGAATACCAGCTACTTCGAATTAGGGGCTTTAAATCAGACTCCCGTTTCACTGTCGCATGTAGACGCGGGCAGTTACTCCGGGCTAGTGAATTTCTAAAATGGCAACTGGCCGGGAACATGCAAATCAAGCCTGGGATATTTATATCCCGGACTTGATTTGCAACTTCGATATGCTTCATTTGCCTCCCTACTTCGAAGTAGGGGGCAAGTGTAGACATACTCTAAGATAAAATGATTTCTTTTTGCAGGCTGTCGCATGTAGACGCGGGCAGTTACTCCGGGCTAGTGAATTTCTAAAATGGCAACTGGCCGGGAACATGCAAATCAAGCCTGGGATATTTATATCCCGGACTTGATTTGCAACTTCGATATGCTTCATTTGCCTCCCTACTTCGAAGTAGGGGGCAAGTGTAGACATACTCTAAGATAAAATGATTTCTTTTTGCAGGC